CATATATATATATATATATATATATATATATAAGTGAGAAAATGTTATTTTAATAAAAAAGTATAATATATGAATAAAAAAAAAAGGAGACTTAACTCCCTATCATAACTCTCAACAAAACAATTTGGTCAATTGGTCATACTTGTGATGAGATGATGATAAAGATAGTAGTGACTATTGTTTTGACTAATGCAATCCTTGTTACATTGTCTGTAACATCTACACTGTGACCCATGTCCCAAGTTTAGCAATATATAGAGATAATCCTTTTTACATTGTCTAACATCTACTTAGTGATCCATGTCCCAGGTTTATCTAGAGATCGGATGAATGAGGTTTGGAATTAGAATACTGTTGGTCACTACTACATTTTCCTCTTAATTTTTGGTGACAAACTACGACTAACCAACTCAATATAGGTCACTTAACATGAGAACTAAATCATTCTGTATTTCAAAAATAAAAATCCTAACTAAATAAAAATACTTCTAAAACAAAACAAATTTTCAGATATTTACATATTTCATATGCTTGAATTAATTAAACATGAGATTTAGATTCTCTCATGTTTATAGGGAGGGTAATGATTGTATTAATAACTTAATTGGATTTAGTCTTAGACATTCCGATTCTTTTTGATGATCCGTTATTCCTCCTTGTATTATATCATCTTACTCTAGAAAGAGTTGTGATCTTCCACACTTTAGGTTCTCATAGTGAGAACCGAGGTTATTTTTGTACTTTTTTCATTTTTTTTAATGTTATATAGTCTTTTTAATATACTGCAGACAATTGTTGTAGAGTGAGATGCTAACTTAGTTAAAATCTCTTCCTCACATTGTGATGCTATAGCACATATATCTTCTTTTTTTTAAAAAAAAAAAAAGATACATAATCTCAAGGGGTTGATTGAGTGGAGCAAGACAGAGTTTCACATTTGTAGACAGGGTGGCACCCCCTCCCACTAAATTTTATCTCTACCAAAAGAAAAACATTAAGATACATGTTCCAGTTAGTAACAATCCTCGATCAATATTGACAAAGCTTGAGCCATCCACATAAAAATTTCACATTTTCCAAGAAGGAAACATCTAAACAATAATCATGTAATGGTTATAATCAGACTCAGACATATTTAAAGCTAGATTAAAAACCAGAATTATGGCCATTCATTCATAGAAAGAACACAAGACAGAAAATTGTGCTGTCTGCATTATAATATTGATTGTGAACATACACTGCAAGCATCAGCCAGTTTTTCTAACAAAAAAGACTAGAGTACTTTAACAGGTACAGAATAAACATTTTCTACCTAGATTGAAAGATGTAGAGAACTGATTCCTAGTGCCTCATTTGTTTAACTGCAATATGCTTCATATCAAAATATGATACCGCCCACCAATATGGAAGTGAGGGGAACTGTGAGGTTGTCATCAATTTCTGTGCTGATAGGAAGGGACTCAACAAATGCTGTGACAACAGACACAAACAGAAAACCTAGTACCATTTTCCAGCTTCCCTCAATAAATCCAAATGAGGAAAAATACCACATATACCTGTCAAAACACTAACCGTTAATAGGACTATATATTAAACAGGTTATCACTTTGAGGACAAAATAAATAAAAGTAAAGCAACAGAAGTCAACTAAAATTTACGCGATAGAAGCTAAGAATCCAAAAGTTGCCATTGCAATTGAACCGGCAAAGGACTTGTTTCTGTTGTATGGTATCTTTTCGTCACCAAATCGCCTTCCAACAATGTCAGCCATGCCTGAAACAACATATTAAGAATAAGAATCAGATCCAGTCCTTCTAGGATGCAACACATAAGGTTTCTCTGCAACCTGACAGTGATAAAGAGGTGATTCCCCCGCCCCTCTTTCTTTTTCTACAACAACAAAACCCTTTTCTTTTCTAATTTAAAATTTTTTTTAGAAGGACTTCTGGTGCAGCTAAAGCATTGCCTAATTCCGGGGAAATTGGCAGTGGCAAAATTACCATCTCCTGCACACAGATTACATATTGTAGCAATGGAAATTGGCGAAGTTCTCCAGTATATTATGGCTGCCAAAGTAATAGTTGCGGCATAATACAGTGGTCCTTTAAGAATTTCCCTGGTGCAGAAGAAGAACCAAGAACAAATGAATAAATAATGTAATGAACTAATGACACGAAATCATTTACCAAAAAATGGAAATTCAAATAACGTTTAACTTTTATTCTCAAGAAGGACATCTCACATCCCAATGTTTAACCTGGCTAGTAATTTGTAACATTATGCAAACCTCGTTTTTTTATTCCTCACATAATCACATACAAGAAACAGAAATATGTCCATTTTGTTTGTTTTGGATTGGATTGATCAGCATCAGCTTAACCATTTGACAATATGATATATACTTCTCTATACAAAATTAACAACACAATGAGCCAACATTTAATTGTTTTACAGATTCAAATATTTCTCACTGGGATTCAAGTGTACAATATTGCAACCTGTAATCTCCAGATCTGCTCATTGATCTCACTGTGGCTTCATCTCTCCATATTCCAAGTCCAATAACAAGCATCTTAATTATATTGACTCCCGGAATGAGAGCAGCAAAGAATGATGCCCAATAGTCAGTACTGTAAAGATTGGAGAAAGGACATTTTCATTCAACAAGGGAAATTGTAACAGCACTTAGAACAGGCTTGCAATCCATATACTATACAATTACCTGAATAGTGGCCAGCAGAGCATGAATAACAGCCCAATGCTTATATGTACAAGTTTCCTATTTAGTTTCTAAACATAGAAAATAGTTTATGAGAATTCTGCCGACACAAACATGATTCACATTTAGAAACACACACAAACTCAGCATCTATTCAATGACAAACAGCATACAGAAAACTCGTGACCCTCTTTGAAAGATATAGCATAGCACAATGAAAAACAATATTTACTTCTAAAACGACAAGACATTAGTCTTAGAGAGAGAAAGCCAGATAGCAACTAAGCATTTCTCTTCAGAAATTAGCATGATTGAGGGGGTGTGATAACAACACACTTTGAAAAAGTATATCCCCACTTTTAGGCAAACCTAGGAACACATTGCCATATCAGTCCCAATACTAAAGAAACAAGAATTTAAGTCATTGATGTATTTTCTGCTGGTCAACTAAGGATTAACATGGTTGACAATAACCAATAAAGTCCAACACAGATGGCACATAGCTGAGCTCCTTAAGCATACCGATAAACCTGACCTTACATAAGGAGAAAACTTTGTTAAGAGAAACAAAATTCACTTCAATAACCTCTACCTCAACTCTGATTATTGTTTGGGAGACATTTTTGGTTCGCAAACAAACACAAATAAAAAAAAAACATGGTTGACAAAAGCGTAGGCTGAGCACTAAGTACATGTTTAGATACCGGTTTAAAACCACGTATCAGAAAAACACATTCCAATATAGAAAAAGTAAAAGCATGCTAGTATAGTTTTTCTTTTTCAACCTCAATTAAATTGAACTAAACTAGTTCTCAAACACACCTTAAGATGACCGGCAAAAGCATAAGACGAAGTGTTACATTCATGCTTCTGTAGCGTGTACGGACTAGAATGAGGGTTTAAGGGAGTAAGTTTAAGTCTTCATACTTTAAGGGATCTCCAATCTTCTTTGTGGTCTCTAAATGTCTTTTACTTCAAATGAAATTTAAAAAAAAAAATACACTTTGCATCTACCTCATATCGGCTTTTCTTGACTTAAACAGTAAATTTAAGTTTAACAATTCAAAAAACATGGAAAATACTCCACCAAAGCTTGTCTTGTAAAAGTTCCAAAACATGAAAACACCCAACTAATTGTACGCAAAAACGGTCACTTCCAACAAGACCCAGTTGCAGTTACTCAGTCAGCACCAAATTGCCACAAAATTCCACACCCCAACATCATTTTCCTTCAACTAAACCCTACCCCAAAACAAAAAGACACAAACTTTCACATGTTGAGACAAGACCCACCTGGTCGAAGAGGCCTCGTTTTGCAGTCTCTTCCCACAATCTGAGGGCGGACAACGCAACAACCCCGGAAATGGCAGTGGCGTAGATGTCAGAGACAAGAGGGTCGTGGTGCAGCATCGTGGACCGTGGTGGCGGCGTAGTGGAAGAAGAAGAAGAAGAAGAAGAAGAAGTGAAGAGGGAAGTAGGTTTGAGTTTGGAAACAAAAGGGGAAGGGAAATGAAAAGTGGGTCTCGTGTTAGGTGTGAGGAGAAGAGGTACAGAAAGGTAAGCAACAGGGTCAAACCTTTGTTGTAGTGTGTAGCTCCAAATCCTGTTGCAACTGCGAGACATCATCCGGGGGAGGCAAGGAATCCCTGTTGTAAATTGACTCAATTCACATCCTCGCATTGTTTTTTCCAAACTTGAAATCACATTGAAAGCTGTGTTTGTAGTTTGCTGCTACACTTCTTCACCCTCACAGATTCACGGCTGCTTAATTAATTTGTTACCAGCTTTTCTTTCTTTTGGTACAGGTTACAGGATTTGTTATCAGCTTTGTAAATATTTGCAATTACTCTTATTTGGTTTAATTATTTATTTACTCCTTAAGATTTACAAAATTCACTTAATTATATTTTTTTTCCTAAATTTAATATAGTTATTTCGGTCTTCAATTTTAAAATTTGAATTTTTAATTCATGTAATTTTAAAAATATTATTTTAATTTTTATAAATATTTTTTTCACTCATAATTAAAAGATGTATTTTTAGTCTCTAAAATATAAAAGTTATTATTTTAATTCCTTAAATTTAAAGTTTATCTTTAGTTCATATATTTTTTTAAAAAAATCTCTCCTTATCACTAATAACATAATTGATAATGTTAATAACATGGATAAAAAAAATTATCTATGACAGTTTTACTAATAATTTTTAAATAGATAAATTGAAATATTAATTTTTTATATATGTTTTAAAGTCTAAAAACTCAAATTTTAAATTTGAGAAAACAAAATAATAATGTTTATAGTTTGAGAACTAAAAATACAAATTTTAAATTTGAGAAATTAAAGTAATAATTTTTTATTTTAAAGATTAAAAATACAAATTTGAAATTTTAGAAAAAAATATATACATCAAATTTAGAGGCAAAAATGTAATTAAAAAAAATTTACGATTTTATCTCTTAATATACTAATTTTATGCTCAAATAGATTTTTTAATTAAGAATTTGGATTTGATTTTTCATTGGTCATTGAATCGCAGTTAAAGGTTTCAACTCGATTAGATGAAGTTTTATCTCCATAATTTACGTTTTAATTCTTAGACAGTTTTTGTTTTTAATCCGGTTCTTATAGTACGTATGTGGTTCTTATCATTTATGTGGTCAAGGGGCCCTTGTTAATTTCAAATACTCTAACACGTGATCATTATAAATACATTTATTAACTCACGATTTTAGATAACACGTGTTTAGTATTGAAAAAATTATATATCATACTCGCAAATATATATGGATGAATTTCGTTAGAGTTTTAAATAAATAATTAAATAAGTATTTGATTAATAAAGAAATAAATATAAATAGAGAGTTAACGTTACCTACAATCAGTGACGGATTCAAAAATTTTAGATAGTAGGAGCAATATTTATTTATATATTTGTAATATTAAAAATTTTACATATATAAATTTTAAAAGCATAAATATATTATCATAATTATTTTTTATAATTTTTTATATTTAAGATTACAAGTAAATATGAAAATAAATTAGGTTAGACTAAATTTTATTATAACTTAATAGGTTTGAACCTAACGTTTTTAAAAAATATATATCCTAAATTTTTTTAAATTTTTTGTTAGAACTACAACTTTAAAGACCTACTTTATAATAATTTAACACTATTAAAAATATAAAATAAATATGTTACATTTTATAAAAATCAAGTTTAATTTATTTATGATATAAACATGTTTTTAATATCTAATACGTATTTTTAGATGATAATTTATTTTATATTTTATAATAACAATTTTAAATGGAACATAAATCTTTTGATTTTTTTATTTTGATTTTTTTAATCAATATATACAATAAATAGAAA